ATGGGGAGGGGAGGAGGGGGTGAGGGGAGGGCAGGGACAAGGGGAAAAATGAGAACCAAGACTTGTCATGTAGAGGTACAAGATCCCAACAATGAATGTAACTGTACTGTATCCCTAAAATGTACCAATAAACTCAATTAAAGCTGAAAAAAAAAGTGCTTTGGCACAACTGGTAGGGGAGGGTCCTATAAAATGTGTCATTTGCACTTACCTGTGGCTAGCATCCTGCCTGTCCTGGAACTAGGCAAGAACTCCTGGTTCTTATGTGCAAGTTTCTGGCATGAGCTGGAAGTGGGTGCTGCTGTTCAAAAACCAAGAGCATCCAGGTTCTCTGCCCACATTTCCCAGAAGGGATGGGCTCAGGAAACATCCCCGAGAGCCTCAGATCAGGAAGCTGATGAAGTTTTTGTCTCTATAACGAACCTTGGCCCTGGTGCTGTGGCTGTGCTGGGTGGTGTTAGCCATTTTTAACGGCTCTAACTCTGCCCAAAGAATTAGATTCAAATTCTGCCCTTGGTATGTTTATTCATTTGGATTTTGTGGATTTTTAAAACAATCCTAGTTGTCACCTCAGTTTTTAATTTTCATTTTATCCTTTGCTCTTTGTAGTTTATTTTTGTCTGCAAACATTCATAAGAACGTATTTCAAAACAGCAGAGTGACCCGTCTCACACAGGAGGCCTAAGTGCGTATCTGTGTTGAGCTTTGTGACAAGCCTGAGACCTCAGTCCTTACATGGCATCTAGGATGGATGCAGTGCACTGTTTTCAGGGTTAGGGAGGAGACAGATCTCTGTGGGCCTTCCCTTCATCATTTGCAGTCTACGTGTCAGTCACTCACAGGCACACCCAGGGCTTCAGTAGTCTTCTAGGTGGGCCTCACTCAAGTTGACTTGACGTGCAACAATTAATGATGGCGATAACTTTCACACGATCAAGTACAGAAGAAACATTTTTGAAACACCTGTTCCTTTGTCCCAAAGAGAAAATTATCCATTAGTTTTGTGGTAATAAACCAGAGGTGGAAGATAATAGCATCCTTTCATAACAGCAAGAGAATTATATGAAATGGAATGGGGGTGGGGGACCAGATATGACTGTGCCCTGATCAAACCTCTCTAGATATGCTTAGTTTGGTACTTGGACTGGTCTGAACAAGTGCATTGTGTAGTCCTGGAAGGGTCTATACAGGCTGCAAGGTTTTACTTCTGGATAGCAGGATTATGTTGATAAGATATAATTAGTATATGCAATTAAGCAAGCTTCACTTTTCCATTTTACCTCTCCCCCCACCCCCTTCCACCTTCCCTTTTCAACCTCAGGCCTACAGTTGTCCAGGAACATGAGCTGTCCTTGATACAGCTACTGACATAAGTCTCTTCTATCGAACATCTCACTGTCCATAGCTCAAAATCAACTACTGAAGTTTTCAAAAACAGTCTTGCTCAGGGCCCACCACTAAAGATTTGTAACTGAGTTTGTGGTGGAGAATGAGCATCTGAATCAGTTATTATTATTTTGGTAGAATCCTGTTCCCTTTGTGTAAGTTACTAAAACTCTGATCTTTCTTAATCCTTTTAGATCAACCTCTAGAACCTCGCAGAACCCTCAACAGGCCAGTTCCCAGCTTGCCCAACATGGACACCATTTTCAGTGAAGCGTTTGTGAAGATGAGGAAGCTGTACCCTGGGTACCTTGCTCCAGAGACCTGTGTCCGTTCAGTCCAGGCCTCTGTGACGTACCCGTATGAGGAAGGCATCAAGAAAGAGGAGCAGCTGTTTCGGTACCTTCAGGAATCTGGGCAGGCCAGAGCCCTGCAGTATGCTTTCTTTGCTGAGAGAAGTGTAAATAAGTGGTCAACCCCATCTGGGGCGTCCTGGAAAACAGCTACTGCACGGCCCATCTCCTCAGTTGGTGTTCTTGGTGAGCTCATGGGGTAGTGCATGGGCTTCTCCAAATCTGCACGTGTCAAGTGCTTCCATAAACCAGGGCCAGTTCTATGTTGAACGCAGTACTCACGTTAGCTCTGTTGATTCTCATCCAAGTCCATGAACTCTCTCCATTCTACATGTGAATCCTAGAGGTTTGCACCTCATTTCAACAGTGGCAGAAACTCTAGTGGTGTGAAGATGTTGACCCTAGGACTGTCTGACTCTGGACTATAGGCACATTTTATTCGTCCTTACCTCTTTACCAAAGCCGAACATTTTGTGTTGCAGAATTTCATTGCTCCCATATATTCTATAGAACATCTCAGTATCCATTTCATGTTTTTAAATCTATCTTTTTGTTTTTTTTTTTATTCGGCTTTTTGAGATGAGGTCTCATTTTGTAGTGCAGGCTGGCTTTGAACTCACTGTGTAGCCCAGCCTGGCCTCAAACTCACAATAATCCTCTTGCCCCAGACTCCTAAGTGTTGGGATTACAAGCATGTGCCACCTCCTACAGCTCGAATCAATCCTTTTAAATGCCACATTGCCAAGGGTGCTTCACACAGTAAGTGATTTTTCAGTTCCCAGTATCCTTGAATCATTCTTTTTCTCCTTCACTCTCTACCTTCAGGCTTGGGAACAATGGGTCGAGGCATTGCCATTTGTTTTGCAAGAGTCGGGATCCCTGTAATTGCTGTAGAATCAGACCAAAAGCAGCTAGAAGCTGCAAAGAAGATGGTAACTTCCACCTTGGAAAAGGAAGCAGCCAAAAGCATGCAGCAGAGTGGCCAACGTGCGTCAGGGCCAAAGCCTCGGTTCAGTTCATCCATGAAGGAGCTTGCCAGTGTCGACTTAGTCATCGAAGCAGTATTTGAGGACATGAGCCTGAAGAAGCGGGTCTTTGCTGAACTGTCAGCTGTGTGCAAGCCAGAAGCTTTGTTGTGCACCAATACTTCAGCCCTGGACGTGGATGAGATCGCTGCTTCCACTGCTCGTCCGCAGATGGTCATCGGCACCCATTTCTTCTCCCCTGCTCATGTCATGAAGTTGGTAGAGGTTGTTCCCAGCCGACACTCTTCCCCCACTACCATTGCCACTGTCATGACCCTCTTGAAGAAGATTAAAAAGGTTGCAGTAGTTGTAGGCAATTGTCATGGGTTTGTTGGGAATCGAATGTTGAAACGTTATTTTGCCCAGGCTTGTTTCTTGTTAGAAGATGGCAGTAAGCCAGAGGATGTAGATCAGGCAATGGAAGAGTTTGGCTTTAAAATGGGGCCTTTTCGAGGGTCTGACCTTGCTGGCTTAGATGTGGGCTGGAAAATTCGCAAGGGGCAAGGTCTTACTGGGCCTGAGCTGCCTCCAGGAACTCCTGCCCGAAAGCGAGGCAATGCAAGATACAGTCCCATTCCTGATATGCTCTATGAATTAGGACGGTTTGGCCAGAAGACAGGTCAGGGTTGGTATCAATATGACAAGCCATTGGGTAGGGTTCACAGGCCTGACCCCTGGCTTTCCAAATTCCTGTCTGAGTACAGAGAGACCCATCACATCAAACCACGTGTCATTCAGCAGGAGGAGATCCAGGAGCGCTGCCTGTACGCAGTGATCAATGAAGCCTTCTGTATCTTGGGAGAAGGGATGGCTGCCAGCCCAGAGCACATTGATGTGGTCTACTTGCATGGGTACAGCTGGCCACGCCACAGGGGAGGGCCCATGTTCTATGCCTCCACAGTGGGGCTGCCCACAGTTCTAGAGAAGTTGCAGAAGTATTACCAGCAGAATCCTGATATTCCCCATCTGGAGCCCTGCAACTATCTAAAAAAGCTGGCTTCCCAGGGAAACCCTCCTCTGAAAGAATGGCAGCACCTGGCTGGGCCGCCTAGCAGTAAATTGTGATTCAGCCTTCCAGGTTGGGCCCACATGCTAGCATCACAGAAAACCTCATTGAATTTCAGTGAAATTAAATACAAAAGTGTGAAGCAAGATCATTCTGAAATATAAAACAAAGAAATAATCAGTTAAAACTTCTCCATGATTCTAATCTTTAGAAAATGCTTCCTATGACTCTGAATCTGCCCTTATTATTAAATTCAATGAATGATCTTGTGTTAGTATAATACCATGCTATCTGATGAGAGAGCCTTGGGAATAAGTTGAGATTCCAAGTGCTTTGGTTGTTGGAGAAATATGCCATCGATTCATAAATGAGAAATGCATCTTAGTCATAAATTTATTTTGGCCTCTTAGCCTTATGTACACAGTACAGATGGAGGTCTTATGGGTGATATATTCACAAGCATTCACTAAGTCTCTCCTGAACAGCTCTGACCATCTTAGGGACCTAGAGTCTTAGAGGCCTAGAGTCCAGTGGGGCATTAAACCAGCACAGCAGCCTGTGTTGGTGTTCTGACCAACTTGGAGGCGCCGTGGAGAAAGTTGGCAGGGCAGAGTCAGCAGTGTGTAGGCATAGAAACCTGCAGGGGTAGTAACCTGACAGAGGCAAAACACAGGCAGGCATTGCTGACAAGGCCAAGAATGTTAGACCAGAAGGGGGAATTGGCGGGTAGCTTGGCAGGTCATACTCAGCGTAAAACTTCTGTCCAAGGCCCAATCTCACAAACATAGTCACTCTTGATGCTTAGAAAGGGGCTTAGTAATGTTTGATCATTTCCCCAAGACAGGCAATGTCTGCAACCCAGGCTTTACTTTTCTATTCAAAGTGAGGCAACAGAGGTGGTAAGTTGTTAGCTTAGTGGGATCTTAGAGTACATGTAGTCTTCAGCGATTTCTTAATTTGTGACGGCGTTATGATGCCAGGTTCCCCTGTCAGCATAAGCCTTCCTGGTGTTATATATGGAAACAGCTAAATCTTGAAACATCTAAAACAAATTTTGTGTAATTGCAAAACAAATTTTGTATAATTTCACTATAACTGCAAGAATTCTATTTCACTTTTTGCCTTATGTGGTTAAAAGTTAAGGGCATGATCAACACAAAAACATGTACAGAAATGTTGATAGCAGAATTCTTTATAATAGCCCCAAATTGGGAACAACCAAAGGTCCATTATCTGACAAGTGGGTAAACTAAATGAAGTATGTCCATACAGTGGACTATTATTCTGCCATAAAATGAAGATAAAGCACTGATACATGTCACCATGTGATGAACTTTGAAAACATTATGCTAAGCGGAAGTAGACAGCCACAAAAGACCACACATTTTATGATTATCTGTATGCAATGTTCAGAATAAGCAAATCTATGGAACCAGAAGGTAATCGCAGTTTATGAAGCTGAAATTATAGATGGTAAAGAAAGGGAAGCAATAACTAATGCGTACAGAATTTATTTTGGATTGTTTAAAATATTCTGCAATTATTGTGATGATTACATAATTATAAATACTAAAAACTTAAGTTGTATAACATGGAGGAATGAATTTTTAGTATGTGAATCATATATCAATCAATTTTTAATAAATACTGCTAAAAATGTTGTCCTTCAGTTTTGTGTTCGGGAACTATTGTCACAGTAGTTCCACCTGTAAACTCAAAAGTTCTGAAGGAGCCAGGCACTTTGGCATTTGTCTGTAGTTCCAGTTCTTTAGGAAGCTGAGACAGGAAGATGACTTGAGCCACAAGTTTAAGGCTAGCTGGGCCATAGAGTAAGAGTCCTATCTCAAATAAGAAGAGCTGATGGACAAAACTATAATTAAACAGTATAGTTATTCCACTGTAAAAAGCAAAAAAAGATTCAGAGCATAGGTTTAATTGTAGTTCAATTTAGAAGAATTTTTGAGCTTATACTACTAGGTTTTGTATAATATGATTTTTTTTTAAATTAAAGGCATCAATAGGAGAGATTCTAGAAGGTAGCAACTGCTTCCAAAGTGACTTATTTTGATGTTAATCTAGGAAAAAATTAACTTCTCTCCTTTAAACCTTGAATGGATTTTGAGTTCTTAAAGTGTATTTCCTCAAAAAGTTAGCCTCGACTTTTGTGCCAAGATGGTAATGGTAGGACTTTGAAGTAGCAGCCTCAGAGAGAGAACGCAAGCAGTTGCCAGGTTCCTGATAAGAGGGGAAGGTAAGTCAAGATGGTAATCAAGCAGGCCAGCCATCATAGTCCTTTTGATAATAGAGGGTGCTTGGTTGAACTGGGTGAGACTGCCACAAGCAAAGAGAGCAACAGGTCTGACTCAGAACTGATCCTAAACTTCTTCATGCCTTCATTATTATGTGTTTCCCTAATAAAATTACCTAAAGTTGGCACATAACACATTTTAAAGTACATTTTGGATCCTGTGCAAATTCACACCTGCGCAGTAACTAACCGCCACCCTGTCCAGATAACCCTTGCCTGCTTGGGGAAGAACTCATGAATAATTAGTGATTTTCTTTTGAGACCCCATAAACATGGATCGTGTCCTTTGTTAGGTGCTTCTCTGTCTTTGGTGGGGCTGTCTTCTCTTTCTATGGAGTTAACTTTGTGGTCTCTTTCCAGGGACTGCCTGTGAGGTCCCTGCATTGCCTGCCTACAGGCCCATGCATCTTCAGGGACTCTGCCCCACGGTGTGTGCACTTGTGGTGATCCTGTCACTCTGCATGTGCAGAGAACGTATGTGTATGTATGAGTGTGAACACCTCACACAGGGGTGGCTGGAGGCCCACTGACAGGGTTAAGGGAGGGGGAGAAGGATAGGGCAGGAGAAGAGGGAGGTAGGTTTTGTTCATTTTCATTCCAATCATTTTCTCCTTAGATTTCCCATAAGACTTCTTTGTGACGCGTGGATTATTTGCAAGTGTCGTTTACTTTCCAAGTGTTCAGATATTTTCTCATTACCTTTCTGTTACATGATTTCTAGTTTGATTCCATGTTGTATGATTTTTTTTATAACATAGCTGAGGTTTGTTCTATGGCCCAGGGGATGACCCTAGTACTATGAACCCTTCGAAAAAATAGGTGTTGTACTGTTGTCGAGTGTTTTATGTTTGCCTATTAAATTTCATTTATTCATTGATCTATAGATAAAGGGCTTTTTAGCTAGTCTTTTTTATATTTTGTCTTTATGTCCTGTTAGTGGTTGAAAGAGGGCTATTGATGTCTGTAACCAGTTTTTGATCTCTTTTTTCAAGTCTGTCAGTTTTTGCTGGCTGTAAACAGTCTGCAACTTACAAACATTCAAGTTGTAAACTTTCACAGGTGTACTGTATGAGATTCACTGTCAGCTTAGGAATGAATCCAACTTACAAACAATTCTCTTGGGATGGAACTCATTCAAAAGTTGGGGACTTACTGTATTTTCAGTTTGTTGTTTGGTGCACATACATTTAGGATTGCCATGTCTTCTTGTTAGGCTGACTTTTCCCCCTAGTTTCTCTCTCTGTTTATGGTAATTTTGTGTTCTGAACTCTACTTTATCTGGTACTAATATAGCTGTACCTGGTTTCTTCTATTAGTGCATATGACATCTTTTTACTATAGATAGATGAGCTAGGTAGTGAAATACTATAGGCAGTCAGATAGGGCTAAGTCCTCGGAAGGTCAGGACAAAGGTGAAACACACCACAGGTGTATGTTGCTGAAAACGAAGCCTAGGATGGAGACACGATGACCAGACCCACATACCTCTTCAAAGAACTGGGCTCAGTGAAGTCTAGACAGGCATCAACCATGCTAGGAGTGAACAGAGACCTCTGGCCCACCGCCTCCTAGGAGAGCCCTTGTTCTTTTCACCCACTCTTGCTACGTGACTTGCTTCCCAACTGGACCACCATCACCTAAGGGACTACACTTGTAACCCTATTGGATGATCATGGCTATGGCCCACGTTGTACCTATGTGGGGTTCACCCTGCAAAACTTCTCTGTAAAGTGGGGTCCTTGGGCTGCCCACTTGGGACCCCTCCTGCCCTCAGGAACTTTCCTATCAATAAATATCTTCCTACTTTTAACCTCCATTGTTCCTAGGACTCATTCTTCGATTTCTAGAGAATAAGAACTTGATGTATCATACAGGTAACAGGTTGGGAGATATATTTCATATTTTCCTACGTCATTTTTATTCTCAACCTATTTGTACTGTTAAATATGAAGTGAATTCTTGTATACTGGCTATATATTTGGTCTTTTACTTTTTTTGGTACTGGGCACTAAATCAAAGACCTTGCATACACTAGGCAATTGGTTCACCACTGAGCTACATCTCTCTTTCTAGCTGGCCATGCTTTTTAAGTCAGTCTCTCACTCTGACTTTTAATTGACATATTTTACTATGTTCATTTTAATGTAATAATCGATATATTAGAGATTACACCATTTTGTTTTTAGTTTTACCCAAGCTTTTCATTTCTGTTTTATTTTCCTGCTGTCCTGTGAGTTACTTGACCAATTTTTAGAATTTGATTTTGGTTTACATGTTCTCTTTGTGCAGCTTTTTGGTACTTGATATAGTCATGAGGTTATGGGTACTGTGTTTGCCCAAAACTAAAACTTAGGTGGAAAATAATCATGCTTGAAAACTGGAGATGAAAAATGCCAGTCTCCGTCATCCTATCCTTGCCTTACCTACCTAACAGATTAGCCGTGGAACAAGAGAATAACGACAGCTAAATGGCAAGGATAGGCTGGACCCGGAACTTTTCGGTTCCATTTTTCAAGGTGGATTATTTCTCAGCTAGGTCTTATTTGGGGAGAAAGGGTACATCATTTGTTATAGCTTAGTGATAACCTTTGACCACTTGAGGAAGCTATAGAAGCCGTATTTCTCTCCATGTACCTTTGGCTTTTCCCATTTATGATATAATTGTTATGAAGTATTTCCTCTGGATGTATTTAGAACCACATCAGATGGTTATAATTTCTGTTTTCACTGTCAGATATAATTTAAAAGCTTGAGAAAAGAAGGAAATATTTATTTTTGTCTAATGTATTCTTTCTTTTTTCCTGATTTTCCAAAATTCCTTATTTTATTGTTCCCTTTTGCTTTGAGACTATCCTTTAGCCATTCTTACTTGCTGGTGACAAATTCTCTTGACTTTCCTTCATCTATGAATACTGTGATTTCGCCTTCATGCCTGGAGGGGATTTTCACTGGATTTAGGATTATAGATTAACTGTTCTTGTTTTCTTCCAGCAATTGAAAAAGAAATTTGCCACTTCCCGTAGCCTCCATGTACTCTGTTGAGAAATCCATTTTCATTAGAATTGGTTTTTTGTTGTTGCTGTTTTTGTTATTATAAGTGTTATTGTCCTCTGATTGCTTTCAATATTTTTTTTCTTTTCTTTTAGTTTTCAGAAGTTAGAATATAATGTGTCCTGACTTGGATTTCTTTGTGTTTAAGAAGGTTCATTCATACTCTTGAATCTGTAAGTTTACATCTCTGCCCACATTTGGAGAGTTTTCAGCCAAGGTTTCTTCAAGTGCTTTTGTAGCCCTGCCCTTTTTCTCCGCTCCCTTCAGTACTCTAATAACATGAACTCTAACGGTCACTGGGTAGGTTGACAAGGTAAATTTGCCAACAGAGGTGCACCTTTAATCAGATTTTGAGGCTTGATCCATGAATAAAGCCACTGCACACCACTCTGAGAGGTGAAATAGATAGTTTAATAGAATGAAGGACAAGATCAAGAAAACACATGGAATTAGAAAGTCAAACATAGGGTACAATACATCACCAGATTGGAAGGCAACATTCACCCCAACAAGGTTCCTTTCTGGGACAGGACTTGGAGAGAAGTACAGCACAGCAGCTCTCTCTCTCTCTCTCTCTCTTTTTCACTGCCACTGCTGTTACTTTTATACCATGTGAGACAAAGGTGGCCCTGTGCCAATAGACATACATAACTTAGTGCAATGTTTCCACTTCTTGAGCTTGGCTAGGAGCTGGGCCAAATTCCATTCTCAAGATGTTCTGTTCTAGCTCAGTATCTACCGTACAGGGGAGGGTGGCCAGTCCTCCCGGGAACAGGCACAGATCAGGGTCATTCTTTGCTCTCATGAATCTGACTTAACTCTTTACTATCATGGTCTCTTCACTGAGGCTCTGTTAATGTTTTTCAGAGTTTATTTTCTCTTCAAATTGGATAATATCTGTTGTGTCTTTTTTCAATTATTATTGTTTTATCAGTACATGTTGCAGTACATAATGAGCACGTTAATTCTTTTTTTCACCTCTTCCTCCCATCTGCTCAAATTGGATAATTTCTCTTGTTTCATCTTCTCGGTCACTGAAATTTTCCTCTACCATTCTTCCGTTGAGTCCACCCCTAAGATTTTAATTTCAGTTACCGTATTTTTCCATTATCATACTTTCATTTGGCTA